CTATGCATCTTTTTAGCACCTGGTGGTGTTCCACATTGTTTGCACCAGTATTTCTTACATTTTGATATTTAAATTGATTACCATCATGCCCCATAAGCATCTTTTGACTCAATATTCAAAATTTTGCAGTGGTTCTAAAAGCAGAAAATTTAAGATCAGCAGTTTCCCCAGGAAATGGGGATAGCACCAACAGCAGTACGATTATATTGCCTGGTGATAATTCTGTGTCCTATCATATCTTTTAATAGGCATGTGTAGAAGTTGGCTTATGGCTGCTAGTTACTTATCTATTCTTATGGCTAAAGAAATACAATTTGAGAAGTTATGTGACCCCAAGGATGCATTAGGAGTGATCCAATAGATCAACAGGAATAAAACTCCCTAGGTACATCAATAAACATAGTAAAATCAATACACTGTCTGGTAAAAGAAACAATATTTAAATATTGCTTTGGTTTGGGTACAGATATATGAAAGCCCAATTATTACCACTGCTCACTTTATAGCAGGAGCCTCCTGCAGAAATATATTCACTTCTTACTAATGCAATGGTGCTTCGATTCACATGCTGATGAAAAATATTTTGTAAATCTTTAAGCAAGATTTTCCATATTATGATCTAATGTCTATCATCATGGCTCAGATGAAAAGCTGTTAATGGCTGTATTTTTTGTTCTGAATCATGCAGAGAGGGAATTCATGGGACTCTCCTAGTGCCAAGTTTTATCTTTTGGAATATCTGCTTCCTGTCTACATGGAGATTAAAAGATCTCCAGAAAAGGGCTCAAAATAGGTGACATTAAGTATTATCCAATGTTACCTAAACTGGCAAGTCTGCCAAAACCACTTATAAAATATATTATGATTGCCTATTCATATCTCACTCAAACATGCAGTTGGTTGAATCACACACAAATGCTGGCAAGACTGAGATGTTCTTGTTGACAATCATTCTGTAGTCACTGTACATGCGAGTCAAACATTGATGAACAGGTACCTACAAGGAATTAGTAGTGCTAAGTGACACATACTACTTGAGAGAGCTCTTCTTTGGGGGAGAGGTTAAAATACAGGCAAGGACCTACAATGCTCTGACATTGCTATGTCAAAGCACACACTTAAAACACTTAAAAAAAAAACTCAGATCCTGTATTTGATGGGGTGTATAGACCCCACACAGAGGAGGAAGGTGCCAGAGAGGCACGGGAGGCAGGGCTAGCCATGCCCCTGTGGACTTACCAATCACATATGATAGGCAGGAGGCCTTTAAAAGGGAGAAAACTGCAGTCAGCAAGGGTGAGAAGGGAAGGAGCAGGACTGCCAAGCAGGAGACTGCTGGTGTGATCCCAGGAGCGACAGGGAGAACTTCCATCCAGAAGAGCTTCATCCCAACCCTAAGGGGTGTACAGTGAACTCCCAGGGAGAGATTTAAGGAGACCCACAAGGGGTAGGTGCCCCTTGTAAGAAGTTAGGAACTAGGGCCAGTGCTGGAGCCAACCAGTGCAAGTAACTGAGTGTGGTCAGGTTCTCCCACCATCTGGGAGACAAACCTCAGGGGACTCCTTTACACCATACAATAAAGTATAATAGAGACAGAGTGTTAGTAACTGTTGCTCGGGATTTTCAGGTAGGAATCTAAGAACAAGAGAGAGATTCAGAAAATAACAGTGAAAGAGGAAAATATAATGGTGACTAAAAGATGGGATCTCACAGCTTTAATTTGACATATCCCTCCCTCCCTTTTTCCAATACAGATCTGTGAATTCATCCATATGCAAAAGTCTTGCCTAAAATTTCAAACTATTATTACCCGGCACTCTCATAAAGTTATTACTCAAATTGTCTGCTATGAAATACAGCCATGCAGAAAGAAACCAACTAATGATCAGTTTTATATATTAGCTGGAAATGTACTGTATCTCTGTGCATGCTTTAAACACAGAATAAATTCTAAAGATATCAAGCATTCTGTGCTGAAGTCAATACAGTGAAAATAATGTATTCTTCCTTAGGTAAAGTTGGCAAAAGCTTTTGCTGCTGGTTAATGCAATTCTGTCCCATACTAGTGAATAACACTTACTAGACTAATATACTTTATTTCAGCAATTTATTTCTCTCTTTCTTGGAAATATATTTAATATATCTGATGAAGCTCTTGCTAACAAAATTCAACTTATGAATATAGATAGCAAAGTCTTATTTCCATTGTTTCGATGGCTTAAGTAGCATGTTGGAAATCAGAAAATTCACTTTCTAGTAATAGCAATTGTGTGAACATGTAACTAATGGAATATCTCCCCAAATTAGGAATTTTGTGGCATAGGGAAATAAAAGAATCTTCAATTTGCTGCATATGTGTAAATTAGAACAGATCTAGCAGCACATATTTCCAAACCTCTGCATAGATATCTATGATAGTTACATTTGTGTATATTTTGTAAAATGCAAACACGTAGTAACACAGAAACACCACACTTGAATTACCTTTCTTGGTGAAGATAACCTGTAACTGGTTAATCATCAGAAACCTCACACTGTTTTATTTTGGTGACATCTGCCTAACTTAGTGAAATAGTGTGGAATGTAATTGTCTAATGCAAATAGGAAAATCTTACTTTGTCTGCAAAAGTGCTATTATCCATTCTATAAATATTTCATTTTCTATATTAACACCACTGAGGGCACTGGATCCAAATCTCTAACCCTTATTCTCATGGAGTATTGCTTAACCCTGTGAGAATAGTCTACCATGCAGTTCCTCCCATCACCTAAATCCTGCATGGTGGCGACACTCACAGGATGGTGTTCAGCTGTCTGAGTGGTTGTGCAGGGGTGCCACTCCCGGGTGCTGCAGAATTGGTCTCAGCTCCAGTCTATGCAGGCCTGGTGCAGAAGGCCAATTCAGGGATGGGGTGAGATGAGACCCAACGGTGAGCCGGGGGAGGTGCTCTGGATTTATGCTACTCCATTGCCTCCCACTGCTCTGTTAGGGTTACCAGGCGTCTGGTTTTCGACAGAAATGTCTGGTCAAAAAGGGACCCTGGCGGGACCACCAAAACTCCGTCTGGCCACAATGGCCGGCTCCGCGTGGCTCCTGGAAGTGGCTGCCTTGTCCTGCTGGTTCCTAGGCACAGGGGCGGCCAGGGCGGCTTCATACACTGCCAATGGGAACTGTGGCTAATGGGAGTTGCGGGGGTGGTGCCTGCAGACAGAGGCGGTGCGTAGAGCCCCCTGGCTGTCCCTGCGCCTAGGTAGAGGGACATGGCGGCCGCTTCCAGGAGCGGCCTGAGGTAAGTGCTGCCTGGAGCCTGCACCCCGAACCCCCTCCCATGCCCCAATCCCCTGCCCCAGCTCTAAGCCCCCTCCCATGCTCAAATTCCCTCCCAGAGCCCGTACACCCTCCCACACCTCAACTCCCTGCCCCAGCCCCGAGCTCCCTCCCACACTCTGAACCCCTCGGCCCCAGCCCAGAGCCCCCTCTTACACCCCAAACCCCTCACATCTGGCCCCACCCCAGAGCCTGCACCCCCAGCCAGAGCCCTCAGCCATGCCCCCCATCCACCTGCCCCAGACTTGAGCCCCTTCTCACACCCAAAGTCCCTTTCGGAGCCTGCACCCCACACCCCCTTCCACACTCCAAATCCCTTAACCCCGGCCCAGACCCTTTCCTGCACCCCAAACCCCTCATACGTGGTCCCATCGCAGAGCCCGCACCCCCGGCTGGAGCCCTCAGCCCCCCCATCCCCCTGCCCCAGCCCGGAGCCCCCTCCCGCACCTCAAACCCCTCATTTCTGGCCCCACCCCAGAGCCTGCACCCCAGCCCAGAGCCTGTACCCCCTCCCACACCTCAACCCCCTCCCCAGCCCAGAGCCCCCTCCCACACTCTGAACCCCTCAGCCCCACCCCCAGCTCAAAACCCCCTCCTGCACCCCAAATCCCTCATCCCCGGCCCCACCCCAGAGCCTGCACCCCCAGCCAGAGCCCTCACCCCCTCCTGCACCCCAACCCACTGCCCCAGCCCGGTGAAAATGAGAACATGAGTGAGGGTGGCAGAAAGCGAGCGACTGAGGGACGGGGATGGAGTGAGTGGGGGTGGGGCCTCGGAGAAGGGGCGGGACAAGGGTGGGCAAGGCTGTTCGGCAACCCTATGCTCTGTACAACTGACAAAGAGAGGCTACGGCTGTTATTCCATCCCACAGGCTGGAATGGCAGCTGGGGGTGGGTGAGGGTGCTGTACACTAGCCCTCTGCCCTTGGGGTGTGTGGGAATTTCAACTATTCAACCTCCTCCTTCAAGGTTTACCCTAAGAAAAAAGGCATTAGAGGTGAGGCAGGAGGAAAATGCAAGAACATGACAGTGCAAGAGAAATCTTGGGGCTAAGGCTTATCTTCATTTTCTTAGGCCAGGTCTACACTACCCCCCTAATTCGAACTAAGGTATGCAACTTCAGCTACGTGAATAACGTAGCTGAAGTTCGAAGTACCTTAGTTCGAACTTACCTTGGTCCACACTCGGCAGGCAGGCTCCCCCGTCGACTCCGCGGTACTCCTCTCGCCGAGCTGGAGTACCGCAGTCGACGGCGAGCACTTCCGGGTTCGACTTATCGCGTCCAGACTAGACGCGATAAGTCGAACCCAGAAGTTTGATTGCCAGCTGCCGAACTAGCGGGTAAGTGTAGCCAAGGCCTTAGGAAAAGAGGAAAAACCCAAGTAGTAATAAAAGGGAACAGGGGAGGTGTGGGTTGTATAGCACTGTGTGTGTTGAGAGCAGCATGGGGACTCTGCCTATTTACACTAACATTTAAACACAAAGGGCCAAATCCCAAGGTCTTTACTCAGTTTTTACTCAGTCTGAACTTCTTTGGACTCCTGACCAAGGAGTGAGTAAAAACTGAATAAGGACTTGAAGTCTTGGCCCATAATATCTAATTGTTAAATCTTGGTAATTTTGTATGTAAAAAGGGAAATATCTACAATTTGAAACAAAGTTAAAATATCTACCTTTACAAAAGTGGATAACAGAGGCCTCCTGCTCCCTCTGGAGCTGGACCATGAGGCATTTTTTGCTGAGCTCATCTCCTTCTCACACCTGGCAATTTCCTTCTTGAGTTTCTCTCTCCGTTGTTGGTCTGCAACTTAGGAAAGAAAGAACCAAATAAAATTAGTGAGATTTTAAAGGAACGTTACTGAGTCCTTCTCTCTAAATGCATTACCTTGTGTGGCCTTTCATTCAGTGAGAATAGTAAAATGTTGTCATGTTTTCCAATTTGAACATACTGTATTCATGAAAAATAACTCCTATTGTCAAAAGAAAATATTAAAAATTATGTTGCTTCCTTTAGAGTTAGAAATTTTAAGTTCTACAACTACAAAAAAATACAGTGGAATTGGAAGACCAACTTCAGAGATATGAGAGTCTACTCAAAAACCCATTGCACTGTTCCCATCCATACAGCACTAAGAACCCTTCCAATTTTAATCCTGCTGAACAACAGTATTGAAATTTTTGGTGAAAAACAAAATCATCTGTTAATGTTAAATCTTGCTAAATTTATATGTACAAAGGGAATTGCAGGACTCAAAAAATTCATAGTCAAACTCTGCAAAAAAGTAGAAAGGTCCCCAAAACGGGCATACAAATAACACTGTAAAAGCAGCAAATTACATGTCAGGACCATGAATAGTCTAGGTAGGGTCTGTGTGGACGGGCCATTGCTGGATCAGGAGGGAAGAATCAGATAAGCTACTGAACCTTTGCCCAAATGCCTCTCTAGAGCAGAAGATTGGCAAAGTGTCTATGCCATCAAGATTTTTTGGGGAGGGAGGGGGAGAGGGAAGGGAAGGAGCCATGGCTTGCTGCAACATGGCCCTTTGTTCTTAATGTTACAAAGCTTTTCATGCGCATTCTAGCTGCATAGTGGGGTGTCATAAACTCTGAAAGCTAATGTGATTCACAAAGCTGCATGCCCCAGTGGAGGCAGCCTCAACCAAAAACACCAACATACTCATTTCCAAATGTGAATAAAGAGGCCCTACAGAAGATACAGATACTTGTAAAAGGCATGAAAATGGGACCCAATTTTACCCTCAACCCCATGGGCACAACTCTTATTGACTTCATTTGAGTTCAATGCATTTCTCCACTGCATGAACAGTCTGCCTGAAGCAACCCAAAAGACCACCATTAAACCAATTTCTGCCTTATCTATCCCATACTGAATTTAGCCCATACTCTGCTAGGCCCCAATACACAGAGATTTAACTTTACAGGAGAACTTAGTGGGATCAGCACTTTGGTGATGTTCTCAGCTTTTGCAGAAGAACCACAGGAATCTGAGGGCCAGAACTCAGGTCTTAGCGGGTCTTTAATTCACCTTTAAAATGTATTCTTCTGTATGTATTAATCCTACAGATAGTTGTTAATCTTGGAAAAACAAATATGTATTAGTTTTATTAAAAATTTCAGTCCTCCTCAAAGCCAGGTACTGGTGCTTTTCAGATGTAATGTTCTTGCTCTCATTCCTCAGCCAAATGCCCTTTTCTGTTTCTTTTAATTCTTACAATTGACATGGAAGATGCAAAGCAATTGCTTCTATAGCCGCTAATTGCTGCAGCCTTTTCTGTTAGAGTGCTTTATGTTATACATTGACTTTCATTAGTGAAAATCCATCCTATGAAGAATGTAAGCAGTTTGATGCTAAATACTGTAAATCAGAATTAAAACATGGCTACTCTAATTTATTGGAGTTGCCGATCGCATATATCCTAACTCACAGTAGGAGCATCTGAAAAATAACTAAAGGTCTTAAGAACCCAGTCCAGCAGAAGCAGATAGCCTTTGTGTGCCTGATCCAAATAATCACTCGGGGTATGTCTACACTACAAACTTAAGTCAACCTATATTAGGTTGACTTACAGCCACTGCAGTAATTACTGCAGTGGTGCATGTCCACACTACCCTCCTTGGGTTGGTGGTGTGCGTCCTCACCAGGAGCGCTTCCAATGAGCTAATGGGCAGTGTGGGGAGCTGAGAGCATGGTCTCTCTGCTTTGCTGGCAGCTCCCTGACAGTAGCCTGGCTGCCCCACAAGCTCCTGGCGGGCTGCCCACCCCATGCTCCCCATTCCCTGCTGTTTACCTGCCCCCCTCCACCCGCCAGACACTGTGTTGCCCTAACTACACCGACATCAGCCCTACACCTCTCATGGAGGTTGGAGTTATTATGTCTGTGTAGTAGGGCACTTACATCAGTGGGAGAAAGGCTGTAGTGTAGATACTGACATAATTAGGTCAACATTAGCTGTCTTATGTCGACCTAACTATGTAGTGTAGACCAGCCTTCAGACTATGCTAATATAGTTGGTGTGTTGGAGGCTGCAAAAATGCATTCTTTGCCTGCTGCTCAGATACTATTGAGATGAGCATTGTACAAATGCCTAGAGAGAGGGAGACAGATAGAATGACAGGATACTATCAACTGTAAATGCAGAATGAAGAAATCAGTTCAGCCTCTACAAGAATTTAGAGCACTCTACCTTGTATAAGTTCAATCAGATATGGCTCAGAAGAAACCTATTTTCCCCCTCCGGCACAAGCCCAGTATTTAAGTCACAGGGAATATTTTACATTGATTCTTCTTCTGTGTCCATATAATACACATTGTCTTGATGCTGCAAAGCTGGTGTGTTCCTACTCCCTTACTCACAAATGCTCAGGACGAGAATAGGTATGTCCGAGAAGAGATGGGCTTAAGCAAAATGTTCAATAATAATGAGATTCTTAGCTACACACTCTTCTTAGGCCTCACTCCTGACACTAGGGAAGAGTATCCAAGCAACTGTGCATCAGTATCAACATTAATGAAGGATCAGAGTCTTCTACTTTCCTTGTCCTATTCATCACTTTTTATCTTGCATTTATATGTTGTAGTAGGATAGACTACTCTGGCACCCCTCTGAGGAGAGGATGGGTGCTGCTCCTGTCTCAGCATCCAGGGCACAGTCTTCTGCCTGTGCTGTTCATGGCATCTGCCCCCTTACAAAGGGCCTGGCAGTGATAAAGTAGTCCAAATAAAAAGACAGTATGCTTCAGCAGCCCACAAAGGGCAGAGTCCTGGGCCTTTGGGAAGACAAAAAGAAAAGAATTGGCCCCTCTCCTTTCTGAGAGGGCCAAGGAGGCCAAGGCTCTGAAACCATTTCCTCAATCAACAACCCCCACTTCCAGGGGACGGGGTGCTCTGAGTTGCAGTCCTGCTCCTTCAGAATGTCACGCTGGACTAAGCAGGGACCCTCCTTTTTAAGGACCTGCTCATCTCCAGCCTTGACAAGCCTCACTGGTGTGCTGGATTGGGACTGACTGTGCACAGAGGAGCTCTTTAACCCTTTCCTAACTGGAGTGGGGAATCTGCCCCAACACATGTTTGCAATATTTCACATCTGAGCAGTAAAGGATTGAGCCTACTAAGGGTATCTCAATTAAATAAAATAAATGGACAGATTCTGGGGAAGGGCAGGGGAAGGAGACAAAGGGAGTGGCCAAAGTATCTCTGGCTATTCCTAGTTGCCCAAATGATATCTTTGGGCTATAGGCAGCTAGATGTAAGTTTCTGGGTACTGTAAAAAACTTTCCCCTCACCGATTGCACAGCTCAGAAAATCCAGAGAATCTGGTCCAAAAGCTGTAAAGTCACACAGGGGTGTCACATGGCATCACAGAAATATGCTAGCCAGAATGGTAGAAAACTTTACTCACATACAAATCCTGATTTGTTGTTATGCTACAGCATCTTCAGGCTGATTTTGCCAGTGCAAAGAGACTGCAAGCCACCCACCAAGGAATTCCCCCTGTGTAGAAGGAATCTAGAGGGCAGTAGGCTGCTGGATGCAAGTTGGGGTAGCCCTGAGGCAACCTCCCAATGACCCCAGACTAAGGGAGACAAAAAAGTAACATAGATCCACCTTCCCCGCCCCACCTCTTGGGTCCTGCACCAAGCAAAGTGAGAATCAGGTCTGGAAGCTCCATTCTTTAAAGTATGGGTTTACTCAGACAACAAGTGAATCTGTATAAGGGGCTTGCTCCCATAAGGCACTGAGCACTCATAACTCCCACTGCAACCAACTGGAGCTGAAGACATTCACCACCACAACACAGGATCAGGCCCCAAGACATGAGCCGATGGTGCAGCTATGACTATGTTAATTACAGCAAGAGACAGGCAGGCATTTGGAAGGAAGCATAGTACTATGGGGGAGAAATGTTATCAGTTAATTGGACACACTAAGATAAGCTTCCTCACTTCCTTCTGCTCTAGAAATAGTGTGGGCCAAATTAGTCCCTGATGTAACCTCAACTAATTTCAATGGGGTTATACCAGGGATAAATTTGTCTCTGTGTCCTTGTTACTGTGCCATGGACTAAATGCCCATCACTGCCAGCAGAATAATTCAAACAAAAGGAGATGCATCTTTTAACAGATTTAGTAGGAATGTCTGATAGATGAACTATAAATAGCCTTAATTGTACAGAGACTCCCCAAACTAAAGATCAAAATTGAACAAAAATATCAAAATGTCAAATGTCTAAATCTGCTTGTTTACAAGTAAAAAAAAATCATTTCATCCACTACTTTAAAAAAAAAAAAACAATGATTAATATCCGAGTATAAAATGCATCCTGCAGATTTAAATTGCAAGATCTCCAAATCTTAATGGAATCTAGAGATCAATGAGTTTCATCAGTGACTCTGCTCACAATCATTGTCAGGCTTAGTAATGAGATAATGCATTATATTATAAGCAAGGCACTGACAGTTAAATGCACAGTGTGTACGAATAAGTTCCTTAACGTATTCTACCCAGTCCGTGAGCCTGTTCTGTTAATTCTACAGGCAACAAAAAATGGTGTATGTATGGCTGTATTGTATATTATTCCTCCCCCACTTTTAAAAACTTTTTAAAAGGATACCGAGCTATAAAATTCTTACTAGTCCAATTTAGAATCTACACTACTGACTAGGCAAATGCCTATTACACAAAGTTCAGAGGATACCAAGCAAATTTCCCTTCATTATAATTTTATTTTTCTGCAGTGGTTGCTCCCTCTACAGGTTTGACTCTATTTCCATAAACCCAGCACTTC